ATTATTTTATTAGGAAATTTATATGGGATATGACATCAAACATTTTCGAAATTTTACATCCGAAAAAGTCATATTATATGTAAATTTTCGGATGTAAAATTATATGGGGTATGATTTTTTTGGATGTAAATTTTCAATTGTAAAATTTCTCCGAACTTTTTTGCAAGTTCGATTGTCCCAGCAATAATTGTCTGCATCCGCTGTGGACATATTTATTCATTTAGATTTAATCTAACGTAGATAACCGGCATGATCATTTTAACCGTTTTCCTAATTTTTTTCACTTTCATTGGAAAGGAAAGAAATTGAGGAATATAAGGTCATGTGGGACCCAATCCACAGCTGAAGGCCGCAAAAAGTGCTTAGAAAAACCCTTGAACACTTGTTACTCCAATCCTCACTTCTCTGTTGCCACTCTCACTCTCTCAGACACGTATCACAAACACATACCATCTTTTGCTCACTAAACCTTCTGCTCTGCCTCTGCCGCCATGGCTAGACCGCAGCAACGATATCGGGGTGTCCGCCAGCGCCATTGGGGATCATGGGTGTCCGAAATTCGCCATCCACTATTGTAAAATTTCTCTTCCCAAAATCTGCTTTCAATTTACATATAGTTGTCTAAATCAGTGCATTTGATGTTGTAAACATTTCTTTTTAGCTTATGCTAGTGAAAGTCGTGAGCGAAACAATATTTCAAGGCCCGAGTACTAGTAGATTTTGTCACCTTAGTTCCCTACTTTTTGTCATATAAAGAGATCTAAGGGGTCGTTTTTCTTTGAGTTAAAGACGGAGAGGTGTGAGGAACAATATAGTGAAAATTTGTAACGACAAGCGGACATATATACTTTTATGCTGAGAGGGTTCGATTGAGATTATCCCTAACATTTGTTTGTGTATAGGAAGACTAGAGTATGGCTGGGGACATTCGAGACAGCAGAAGATGCAGCAAGAGCATATGACGAGGCTGCAAGGATCATGTGCGGGCCTAGAGCACGAACAAACTTTCCGTACAACCCCAACGAGCCTCAAACATCATCGGCCAAGGTTCTTTCATCTACATTAATGGCAAAACTACAAAAATGTCACATGGCATCACTCAAAATGGCCAAGAAACAACCTATAAATCAGCAAAATGCAGCAGAACAATCTTCATGTACTAAAAGAGAAGATTGCATTTATAAAGAGAATGTTCCAATGGGGAGTGGACAAGAACTGAAGGCACTTGAAGATGATCATATAGAGGAGATGATTGAGGAGTTGCTTGATTATGGCTCAATTGAGCTTTGTTCTGTTATGGAAAATTAAACAATTGAGTTTAGTCTCATTTTCATTTGCTTTCAGTCGAACTTTCTTCCATGTTTCCCGTGCAATAATCATGTTTGGTATGTTGAAGTGATCACCCGGAATATGATTAAAGAAGAAAAATAAGTTAAAAGTCTCGCAAAGATGCTTGCTAGCTGCAACATATGTGAACAGGGAATTGAGAAAATGGGGCTGAATAATGAATGTTGATTTCTGGAGGAACATTCTTATAGTTTTCTTACTACCTTTTACAACATTTGATGACAGCTGAACAAATATCTACCCTTTTTGTCATGAATTTCCTATAAAGTGATAATCTTTTTGACTAGCATTTTGTTTTTCTCTTTTTTCATGGAACAATCTAACATAGGTTTTCATTACAATCAAAACCCATTCGAGGACAAAAGCCACGCCAAGTCACATAATTTAGACTTTAGAGCACGCACAAATATTTATTATGACTGAATTTCAACCGCCCATTAAAAAGAATTTTGTCATGCCCCTCCTTGGTTTAGATAAAAATCAGATTTTAAACATATTTTGATAAAAATTGATGGAATGCGTAATTGAAAGTTCTGGACCCATGATATGTGGAATTAAAATTAATTATTGACTTTGACTTAAATTTTAATCAACATTTTAGCTTGACCAAACAGGGACCAAATCTCCTCACTTGTCTCAACCAGAAAATTTAATAGAATATTAGATATATTCGGCTCGAGGTCATTGTCGTACTTGTTACTCGAAAGAGATCGTGTCATACTATTATTTTACCGTAACTTCAGAAAGTTCGTTTCTTCCTTAAAGTCTCCATGAATGTATACAAAAGCGTCCCCCGACATTTTCTTGTCCTTGGATGAAAAGGTGGTGTCTTTACTCTGATCTCCACAACCACCACCTTCTTTGTTAACACCACACATTTTCATATCCAATCTCATATTGCTCAAATAATTTTTAATGGGTTGTTGAACCGACAATCAATCTATAAGGCTTTCCATTTTATTCTTCCTCTAACTGGTTTGTTAACATATATACTTAAAATTATTAAAGTCTATTCTTATTCCGCATTACAAGTTTATTAAGAGCATCTCAAATGCATTATATGGATTCCAGAGTACATGCAAATAAGTAGAGAGATTTTTAGTCCACGTGCCATCGTTGTCAACAAATAGAAGGTCAAGTTCAAATTTCATCTCCAATGAGTCGTCTATAGCTCAAATTTATTTGATAGGAGAAAAAATAACAAACTTGAAAGAGAAAATATAAGGAATAAGAGAGAGATAAAAAGTTTAAACTTTGTTAACTCGTCACGTCCAACCAAGCATACAACTACGAACTAAGCACGAACTAAAAATAATTTTATAAAATCACTTCTTCTATCATGACAAGATGTAGAGTCAATCTGGGTTATGTTTTTCACCAAATTAAAATAAAAAATAAAAAAATATATAACATTCCATTCCATGCTTGTGCATGTGCAACAATTTCTTTATTTTGTGTTTGTAATGGAACCATGTTATTCACTCCTCTTTGATTGGATAGCCGTGTTATCCAAATGGGTAACGCAGGTTGATTCTAGCATGATTGCATGCACGCACATGGACCGACCTTTTTGTTTCTTAAAATCATATTTAAATAAATTTCATGATAATTAAGAGAGACAAGATTAAGTCTCTTCCTCATGAAACAATATTTGATTTACTTTAGAAAGTGATTTATATTTTGTTTGTTGACAAAGGTCTGGTGTTTGTAAGAAATTAATATCTGTTACGGGCTTTTTCAAGTCATCTCTCACGTCATCGCTCCCTCAAGGATCGAACTGAATACAATCGTCACGTGATGATGAATTCATCATCCATTAGGACAAACTGATTTTGCCCCCACCACGAATCGGATAAACTGATTTTGAGCCCGCCACATGTTAGCGAATTGATTTTGTCTCGCCACGTGGACGAACTAATTTCATCCGTCGTTCCGACAGATGCAAATGCATGCACTCCGCATCGCTTTGTCGCAAACCGAAACTAAGTCTGAAGTTATGCATCCAAAACGCGATTAACACTCCTGCCACAGCCGATCCACTTCAACCTTGTACTAGAAGATCTTCCATGGAAAGATTTCAAGAATCAAATCCTTATGACTGATTGATGGGACAGATGGCAAACTCTAAAATGTCAGGTCAACGCCTTACAATGTCAGGAAGCATTAAATGGACCGCCTACCTATGAATTGATACCTAGGAGAGGATGGTTCACCCTAGATTCAAGACCACTTGTTCCACATCCAGCGGTTCCTCTCTTATTCCCTTTCACTATAAATACATATTTGCACTATAGGAAGGGGTTGGTCCCTGAGAAGAGAGAAGAAACACAAGTCTTATATTATCATCATCCCCACGTACACCACCACAAAAATCACATTCCGCCTAACATCGTCGCGGGATGTCCCAGATTCATTCTACCAACTCACTAACTTGATCGTCGGAGTGCTCGTGGCTGTTTTCACCCTCACCGGAAAAGGCCACGAGCGACTAATGGTGTGTTGCTTCGTGTAGAAAGGAGCTCACGTGGAAGAACTCTCTTGACCACATGTTTGGGTCATTTTTTGGGATCAACAATATTCACTAATGAATAAAGTTTACATTAGTATTGTATATATATAATTGTATGAACAAAATATAGATTGAAAATGTTTGATTCGTGAAAAAAACAAGTTATTGTAGATAGGGCGAATTTTTAACCTTCCTTTTATTTTTTCACAAAGTTGGAACAAAATGGAACATATTTTGGTAATGGAAAATTAAATTATGAAAGTGATTCGCAAGTGAACGGTATCTTACAATTGCAGTAAAATAATAAAAAAAGTTTCGTCCCACGAGGATCTGAACCGAGCTTGATTAAATTAAACATAGTTCTAATCTAGACATTCAAAAGTTCGATTTGTTTTATTTTCTAATCTAAGTTACCAATTCTGCTAAACAAGTAAAATATTGTAAAGATGAATTTAGAGGAAAAACAAATTAAAGATGAGAAGGGTACTAGGAATCTGACTCGATCGATTATTTCGTTTTAATTCTCCAATTCTTGTTATTGATCAAAAACCAAGGAAAATTCAAACGGAAGCTAGACTAATCAACATGAAATTGCATAATAACCCGGTTTCATATTGAAAATAATCTGCATTGCCATATTTCTTGTATACTGGAGACTTCATTTTTTTTTTCCAGGAAATCAATGACAATCAAAATGCCAAAAACGTCAAGTATGGTTGGAATCCGTGCTCAGCCTGCAAAGCAGGCATCGTTAACTACAACTTCCATGTAAAACAATTAAATGCGAATCTCCAAACATGTCATCCAAGATGTAATTGAAAATCTACGGTAGAAATGAAGTCTCACACTACCAACAATCCTTCTAGTCAATTCTCACTTTATAACTTTCAATTCGAGAGAGAAAATTCTGCAGAAAATTTTGTACAGATTTGACAAGGGACTATTTCACATCTTTTTTTTTTTTTTTTTGAAAAAATAACAATATCATTGATCATCAAAGCAGCAAACGGATACAAAGAGGATTAACCTCCAATACAGTGCCCTCCTAAGAGAGTTTAAGTGCTTCCTATGCCTAAGCATGAGCTACCACAATAACCAAACAAGTCCCAAAGACAAACAAAGAAAAGAAAAACCAAACAAAGCCCTATCCTACTCCAACCGAAGCCACGACCTCAATCCGGCAGTGAGCGAAAAGGAAGACAACAAGAACCAATCCTGGAGCCAGATAAATCCCAGCGAAAGCAACTGGACGGACAAAAACAGGCCGTGAACAGCTCACGCCTGCACCGACCACAAAGCCACCCCAAGCCGGAACGCACCCTGCCCCAACCAAAGAACTCGCCGTCCGAAAACACCTGAAACACCAAGCCCAAACACGAACCAACGCCATGGATAGCAACTGAAGCATGCAGGCAGAGCCACACCACCAAACAAAACCTCACGGACAAGAAGTCAGGAGGACAAAACTAGGATTCCAAAGGAACCTAGAAGAAAACACTCACCTTTGCTAGCAAAGGGAGGCACGGGAGTGGCGAGCGGAAGAGAAAAGAGGACAATAAGCAAAAAAACTAAAATACCTCACCTTTGCAAGCAAAGGGAGGGGAAGAAAGACTATTTCACATCTTGTATATAGGAAACCACTTAATATTAATCTACTATTTAATTAACTTCACCTATGAATTGATATGTGACCATAAATGGTTAAATTCCGACCCTCGAAACCTCGGGCGGGGTGCAAAATGCACTATTATTATTAAAAAAAATATACGACGGACAGTTGGGTTTCATTTGGTTTCTTTTTTATGATTTTGTACCTAAAATGTATTAGTTGTTTTAAAAAAAAATGCTTTTAAACCAATATGATGTTAGAGCATATCCAACAATAGAAACATAGAGAGTCAAATTCCTTCTATATATAATAAATTTTCATCTGCCATTTCACAATTTTTCATACGCTTATTTCAAAATAAAGGGAAAATGACAATGCAAACAAGAGAAAAGTATAGTGAAAAAATGCAGTGGTGAGCCATAATTTTTTGGCCGAAAAATCAAAATAAAATATTCGATGTGAAAAAATCAAAATAATTTTTTTTGTTATTATTATTATTTTTTTTGAAGAACTTTCGGTTAATAAGTAGCAAAAAATTATGAGTTCACAACCAAAATTATTTTATTTGGAGATTATACGATCGAAAATGAATTTTAGAGAATCTTTACCAAATAAGGGAATGGAAAGTCGCATATTTGACATTTCCTTCTGATTTATTGATGTAGCTAGGGTTGAACAACAAAATCGTAAAATCGAACAGAACCCTTTTTCTTGAAATCGTTGATTTGGGTCCACGAGAATCCGTTAACGTTTTAATTTTGAATTGAACCAAACCGTTTTAAAGTGATTTGTTTTAGGTTTCAATCTTTTCAAACCGTTAAAAAAAATTAAAAATGGATTAATTTAAATTTTATTCAATCCAATCAAAACTAAGCACATCTCACAGTTAAAAAGATATATCCATGTTAGACATAATCCAATTAAACTCAATACCTAAATAGACAATCATCTATCCCAATTAATTAATTAAATCATATTCAAATATCCATCGGTCATTATAACTGTAAAAGTAAAACCTTCAAATTGGGTGAAGTGTTGAAACATTGTTCTTGAATCATATTCATCGATCATCCACTATAATTGAGTAGACACTTACTTACTTTTTAACCCATTTTTTAGATTTTACTGTTAATTGCTAGAATGATTTGGTGGATTACTTAAATGATCGTTTTGAAAATTTAATCAATGAACCTTTTGACATATTACTTTGATAATTTGAAAATATAAATACAAGATCATCTCCCAAATTTCTAAAAATGTGTTAGCTATTCAAATATACACAATTGTGTCACGTGTCTGCATTCTATACTAGTGGTCGAATTCTTGATTCCTTTAGACGTTCGTTAAGTGCACGTGATTGAAAATGTGATTTGTTCTAAACATGGTTACGCAGTAATAGTGATTCGTCAATAATTAAATGATATAGAAGTATTGGACGATTCATAAAAAAATATAGAATGTATTGTATTTCATCTTTTAATTCATTTTCTTTTATTAGTCGTTTTATATCATTTAAGTATAATAAATGAATTCATGTATTATATTCTTATCATTACGCAGAGAATGAATCATGTGTTACATTTGCAAATATTGCACCAATTATTTTCGACTAAGATATTAAAATGCTTCCATCTTCTTGTTGCATTATAATTATTAGAATTATAGAACTTTGATTTTTAATATTTTTAATTATACTATTTTATGTTTTAATCCGAAATCTTAGACTAATAATTATAATTTAACTTATTTGATATAGGTTATATTTTTTATTTGTTAAATCGTTTTAAATCAAAACCAAAATGGAAAAAATGGTGTGGATTCATTTGATTAAGAAATTAAAGTGGTTTGATTTGATTTGAAAAACTTTCAAACAACTTTAAATTGTTTGATTTGAAAATTTGTCATAAATCGTCCAAATCGAACAATGTTCACCTCTAGCCATGCACTTGGCACAGTCAATTTATAAGCGATTATAAATTTAGTCAAAAGTAAATATAATTTTATCAATTCGTTTCCATGTACAAATCATCTATTATTCATATTATTCCTCTTCACAAATTATTTATAAATTTGGCCATATGAAAGCTGAATATTCTTCTACTTTTTGTTGCCTAATATGTAAGGATAAAAAAAATTATATAATATTCTCTATAAATTGGAGATTAATTACGTGATTTTTAAAATTTTTTTTTTTTTGGTTTCTCAAGCACAGAAAATAATCGACATGGATATTGTAGTCATCACTTTCGAAGCTGGGTGAAGCCTCAAGAATTCTTGAATTTGACATCTAATTTGTGCTAACCTGATCAAGAACAGGCATACAATCAACCAAGATCTCAACGGCCCGATCAATTTCATGTGTCGATATGATAAGTGGTGGCACAATTCTAACTACATTTCCTTTTCCTGCAGTCAATATAAGAAGACCGGATCGTTGGCATGCATCGACCAATGGGGAGGCAGATGTTTCAAGCTCTATGCCAATGATCAGTCCTGAACCTCGTACATCTCTCACGTGCGAATTTCCTCCCAACTTTTTAACTAACAGTTCCTCAAAATACCGACCTTTCTCTGAGATGCTGGCTAAAAAGTCTGGACTAGATATTTTATCCAACACAGCAATTGCAGCACTGCAAACGAGAGGGCTACCTGCAAAAGTGCTACCATGATCTCCAAAGTTTATTGCACAAGCGACTTTTTCGGTTACCAGCACAGCACCAATGGGTAGACCTCCGGCTAGAGGCTTTGCGAGAGTCATTATATCCGGGTATACACCATAAGCTTCATGGGCCCAAAGATGACCGCTTCGGCCTAAGCCACATTGTACCTATGAATAGAGGCATAAAGAAGGCCAGTTCAGGAAACTATAATCAAACATATGCCAAAATTTGAAATAGGAATAATCAAGCCAAATTTAGGCCCATTTTGTAGGGTTTCTGAAAATCCAAAAGTTGATTATGACACTAAAAAATTGTTTTTGTACATTTACGAATAATTTTCTGGAAGTGCTTTGCCAAGCTAGAAGAGCTTTTAGAATAAACATGAAACTCTTCTAAAAAAAGAAGAAGTGCTAAAAATGAGCCCTTATACATGTTTAAATCAATGACAACGACACGTTATGATCACTAATTTGGCCATGTTATATTTTTCATAATCTGATTTCTGAACAAGTTTCATACAATAGAACCAAATGCCAAATGCATCAGCCCAAGGGAAAATGGAGAATCTTCAGCCAAAAGATAGCCTAGCAACATAATAATCGTAATAGAAATAGTTTAGCAAAGAAATGGACCCGAAAAGAACATTATCAATTCTCTCACTGGGTATTCATTCTGCAGTATCCAAAGCATGCTGTCTCAATTTGAAAAGGAAAACACAATGTTTAAACCTGAGTGTTCTGATTGTTTAATATGCATGTATACAACCATAATACTTCCAAAATTTAGTGAAGAAACGAAGAGAAAATTTTTGAATCTACGTGTTTGTCTGTCGACTACATAACCTCATGGGGGTGGAAAACATGCGATCACATTCTAATGATCTCTACAGCCATTTAAGGATTACCGTCTATCACAAAACAATATATGATAACCTGATACGGTAGTATGAATAGAAGGAAGCAACAAGACCACTTTTGAATCTTATTACAAAAACCAAAAGCATTCTCATAATCAGATACGAAAGTATCTAATCAACCGGTTGATCTCTGTGCAAACATACAGATTTCCTCAAAGTTAATGCTTAATTTAGATGTTTAATCATTGTTGTCATAAAACAATCCACATTTAAACAGTGTCTTACCCATCATTAAAGAATAACATTCAGAGAAAACTTGTCTCTCCTTCCGATGTGGATGTTTTCTTTCACTGGAAACATGGATTTATAGATAACACATATAGGCGTCCCCTTTTTAATCTACTACATCTGAAAAATGAAAATTCTCTTGATTCTATCCCATTTTGAGAGTTAACCAAGGTGTTTCATTACACGAGTTTTGAACTAAAATTTGAATCTTGGGTTTTGCCTTGCCTCAAGATCTAATGGGGTGGGGGTGGGGCCGAAAAAGAAGCAGCCCAGCCCCAGCATCTTTATTCTTCAGAAACTTTAGCTTGGTAGGTACTACTACTACTCGTTTGATCAACTGTTATCAACAATGATTTCTTCGTATAGAGGCACCCGCTTCGTTCTATATGCATATTATATAGGCAGAGAGTAATAATGTTATTTATATGTTAACAACCACAGAGAGTAATAATGTTTTCCAAATTAGTAGGTTACCTCATCAAAAACAAGAAGAGAACCAGCATTATCACAGGCAGTGCGCAGGGATTGTAAGAACTCCTTTGTTGCACTGTATATACCACCTTCTCCTTGAATGGGTTCAACAAACACAGCAGCAATTTTTTCACTCTGAATCATTTCAGTAGCTGCTTGAATATTACCATATTCTAAGAATGTCACTCCAGGCATAACAGGCTCAAAAGGTGATCTGTAATTCTCTTTGCTTGTCAATGCAAGAGCACCCATAGTTCTACCATGGAAGCAATTCGTGAAAGCAATGAACTCCGTAGGTGGATGCGTCTCATCTGGATGCGAATATCTTTGGAACTTCCGGGAAAACTTAATAGCGGCTTCATTTGCTTCGGTTCCAGAGTTGGAAAAAAACACACGATCAGCAAAAGAGCAAGCAACCAGACGTTTCGCAAGCTCCACCTGCAGAAACAGACGTTAATCATTTTATCTCTGCTAACTTGACAACACAAACGATATCATTTCGCTTTTGCAAGACAAATTATCAGCGCGTATGTAGAAAATTGTGGGAGAAAAGTCAATTTAATACTAACTTTATCTCCTATTGATCTAGGATACACGTATTCCCCAAAAATATTATTGGAAATCAGCATAAAGTTCAAGAAGTAAAAAAATAAAATCCATCAAAATTTAATCCTTTCGATTCTAAAAAGTTAAAAAAACACAACCCATAATCAGGTTTCCCAACCCATAACAAAAATTAGGAAAAGGAAGAGCTTTTTACCTGTGGAACGGAGTAGTATATATTGCTGACATGTGTGAGTACGTTAGCTTGCTCTGTAACTGCCCGCACCCAATCGGGGTCCGCATGGCCGAGGGCATTGACGGCAATACCAGAAGTCAAGTCCAGATATTCTTGCCCATCAACATCGTACACTTTACAGCCCTTTCCACTGGCCAACACCACCGGCGCCCTCGCATAGGAGCCCACCACAAATTTCTTCTCGTCGGCGATTACTTGTGAACTCTTCTTTGGGTTCTCATTAAGTAAAGGTTTCGGATCGGAATGCACGTCCAAGTTGAGGGATGCCCTCGTCACAAAATAACTATTGGGCCGGAGATTGATAGAGCGGTTGACCGCGCCGGAGGGAAAGAGTGGAGTTTTGAGAGAAAAAAGAGATGAGCAACTCATTGTTCAAAGAAAAAGACGCTGCGATTTCTTAGGGTAATTTGGTCAGGGAGGGTGGAAGAATTGGC